CTTTCTTTCGAGTAGTTCTCGTATATAACGACGACGACAACGACTGTCTGCAGTCGAGACTCGTCAGCCTCGTCGGCGCTTGCATCGGCAACGCGTCGGTCGGTGCGTTCAAGTCCAAGCTGAGGCGCTGCGACGTTCGCGAGTGCGAGCAGTTCAATGCGGCGGTGGCCATCGGTGGATTCCCGGAGGATGAGAACGATCGCAGGTTTGCGTTTGCCGTCTACTTTTTTCGGACTTTGGCTCTTCGTCATCACAGAGGGATCGCCGATTCGATATGTAATTTCGACGAAGTGATGGCTAGCATCGAGCAGCGTACGGGGGCTTTTATTGTCGTTGCTCGAACGGAGATGATACACGAATCGGCACTGATCAGATGCATCCTAGCGCAGCTGAATCCCTTTGGAACACGACCGCTTAATCCCCTGCTCAAGTTGGTCTTGGAAACTTCGAAATCCAGTTGGCCGTTCGATTATCTGTTCGTGATACCCGGTCGCTCTTCGAATCTCGTTCGATGCATTAACGCTCTCAACGAGGCGCGACGGGGACCGTTCGTTCTCTCCCTGGTGACGGAAGCGATTGATATGCTGTCGGAGTCGGAAGCCGAAGAACTGAAAAGTGTCATATTCGTGCAAAGGCGATGCAATCATGTGTATAAGAGACAGGGTCTGGTTCGGAATCGATCGTCATTTGTCGATATTGTTACATAGTCCTAACGTACGTCGATCTCAAGAACAGGCCTCCGACCAAAGGGGTGTACATAGACGAGAACACGTTGGTGCCTTCCTGCTTCAACTGCCATTCGCGACGGTTGGTCACGTTATCCTTGGATGGTGCCGGAGTGCGTCTGACCGTCAAGCAACCCGATCTGGCAACGATGCGCTCGTGCGGTTGCGGTGTCCCGTCGGTCGTGCGTATTTTGCAGCAAACGGCCACCGGCACTTGGGTCATCCGATGACATATGTCTTCGTCGATGAGCGTTTTTGCCAACTTGACGGACTCTTCGTCGTCTTCGTCGTCGTCGTCGCCGTCTTCGTCGTCCGAATCTTCGTCGAATAACTGTTGAATGGACTCTACGCAAGCCTTGCGTCGATCTCTTCTACGCGCGACGTTTGCCACGCGTCGGTAGACTTTCTTCGGTTCCATTCGTTTACTGTCTTTCACCAGACGGTATTCTTCCTCTTTCAAACGATCGTATTGCATCGCGTCAACCTCGCGCATTTCGTTCTTCAGCTCGTCTTTCGTCATCCGGAACCTGGCTTTTCCGGTGCTCGCCTGCAGTCGTTCGTAAGCTTTGCACATCTTGATTTTGGAGGCCAGTTGGCCGGCACACATTCCAGATTCCACTGCCTGCTGTATGCGTCTACGTTCGTCCGAAACATTCTCCTCGCATCTGTTCTCCATGGCTGCAAGATTTCTCAACGCTTCCACCCGCTTGAATTCGTACCGACGATGACGACGGCTTGCTGGGAACATTTTTTTCCCTTTCTTTCGAGTAGTTCTCGTATATACATGAGTACGCAAAACAAAACAAAACAACAAACTGACAACAAAAAAAAAATGAAAAGGATCGCCGCTTTGATCGCGGCGATGGTCGTTTTCGCGGCCGTCTTGTACGGAGTCATCGATCGGTACGAATGGGACGGCGAAACGTTCGGAAGCCCGAAAAAAAGCTACAAAGAGTTGCTGACGGCCAA